AACAAATGGGACCTAATGAAACTTAAAAGCTTTTGCACAACAAAGGAAACTATAAGCAAGGTGAAAAGACAGCCCTCAGATTGGGAGAAAATAATAGCAAATGAAGCAACAGACAAAGGATTAATCTCAAAAATATAGTTTGAATATTTTAAAAGCAAATGTCATGTGCCTATCTAAACTGTATAAATACAAAGTCATGTAAAAAAGTCCTCAATCAGTACATGTCATACTTTTTTTTTCTTAAGTATAGGATGGAGTGTTCAAAATTTCTGATTTATTATCCATTTATTTAACAAATAGATCTTGCCTAAGCTGGCCTTACAATTCCCCTTGGCTTCACTAAACATTACACAAGTTTCTTCCTGACCTCCCTTTTCTCAGAGCATTTACTTTAAGCTGGCAATTGTGAATTATTGCTCTGGTCCTTTGAGATCTTTTCCCAATGTCTCACCAGCTTTACCGACCCAGGAATGTCTTTCTCAAGGACTTGGGAGCCATCCTTTCGAGATGTAATCATCAAGAAAGATAGCACCTCTATCTCCCAGTTTTTACCTGTGGATCTGAGCCTAATAATAAGCACTAGTCATGTTAGGGGAAGCACACTGATTGAAACCGCCCACCTTTCCAAGCAACATAGTAACCATTCCCATGAGTTGTTTTATGAGAGGAGATCCTGATAAGAAATATGGAACTAATAAGCCACCACCAACCGGAAGAGTTCGGGAAGGTTGAAAGGAGACACCGCGTGTCCATCCACTTCTCAGAATCCCTCTCGCTAGCATTCTTCTTGGCTGAGAGATGCATGCGCCACCAGGAAAGACTCTGAATTAGAATGACTGGCCAAAGACCACCTGGAAACTAATCCCATCACCATAAAACCCGAGACTGGGAGCCACGCGGCAGAGCAATTCTCCTAGGTTCCCTCACCCTCCTGCTCTCCACCCGGGTGCCCTTTCCAATAAAATCTCTTGCTTTGTCAGCACATGTGTCTCCTTGGACAATTCATTTCCGAGTGTTAGACAAGAGGTCAGCTTCGGGGCCTGGAAGGGGTCCCCCTTCCTGCAACAGTCACAAGCACAAATGACCTCATTACATTGACTAACCTCTCCTCAACATCTTCTAATAGTTTTTCACCAGCTCATTCCAACCTTTAAAAAGTTCTTACCCTGTATTTCAGCAGAGTTAAGTTAAATATCTCCCCCTTTTTCAATAGTATGAATAAAGTCTTCCTTGTCTAACTCCATCTGTTGCAAGTTTTCCTTTATATTCTCAAGCATTTATTATGTGCCAATACAGTAGTAATTCAGCGGTATAGAAGTTGGACACTTACTTGTCTTAATAGAACCTACAGTCTAGTTGGGAGTCTGAGATACGTAAATTGATTCTTAGAATGTGATCAGTACTATAACTGTGTGAACAGAATGGGGCACCAAATAAAAGTGGTAAGAAAGTGAAGTTGCTCAGTCATGTCCGACTCTTTGCAACCCCATTGGCTGTAGCCTAAAAGGCTCCTCCATCCATGGGATTTTCTAGGCAAGAGTACTGGAGTGGGGTGCCATTTCCTTCTCCATGGCTTCCTGACTCAGGGATGGAACATAGGTCCCCTGAATTGCAGGCAGGCACTTAACTGTCTGAGCCACGTGGAGTACATAATAAAAAGTGTAACAGAACAAGTGCTATTGAAGTTATTATCTCAGAGAAGATGAGGTATCATTCAGGGAAATTGCACAAGGGAAAATACCCCAGGAAGAGGATCCAGCATGTGTGAAAGTTGAGAGAGAAAACAAACATTTCAGTGCAAAGAAAATAATATCAGAAGGTCTGCATTGCACACAGTGATGTGGGAGGGGGCAGGAAATGTGGCTGAGATGTAGAAGAAAGAAGATAAGAAAAGGCATTTAATCATATAGTCCATTTTTCTTTTAATCAACACGTTTATGGAAAGGTAATACAACTTAAGTTCAATGCCAAGGGCTCTGTTATCAGACTCTCAGGCTTTGAAATCTGGCTCTATCTCTCACAAGTTATATGATTTACACAGTTTCCCCATTTCATAAATGAAGATATTAAAAATATTCACTTCAAGAAGTTTTGTGAGGATTAGAAGAAAAATTCTAGATAAAATATTCAGTATAAGCCTTGAAAATGAAAGTTATTCAATCATGTCTGACTCTTTGTGTCCCCATGGATATACAATCCAGGGAATTCTCCAGGCCAGAATACTGGAGTGGGTAGCTGTTCTCTTCTCCAAGGTATCTTCCCAACCCATGTATCAAACCCAGGTCTCCCACATTGCAGACAGATTCTTTACCAGTTGAGCCACTAGGGAAGCCCAGCACGAGCTTTAGGACATGGAAATTATCAATGGTGATGATGATGAAAAAGACAATGATAGTCACCTATGATGATATCAATGATGAGGGCCACTCAAGGGTCACAGAGAAGTTTCTAAAGAAAAGAGAAACTGAACCATTTAAAAAATAGAGAAATATGATCAAGTTTACATTTTGAAATAACATTCTGATTAGTTAGAAGAATGTTTCTAAAGTTGAAAAGTGATTGCTGTAATCTCTGTTTGGATGAACTATGTAGTAGACGTCTTGGTGATTGTCAGTTGGTATGTTTTATAAGAGGAGTTTGTTTGGTCACACAAATCATATGTCATCTCCAGCATATCTAAAATGCAATAGTAATCATAAGAGAAAGAGTTAATATGTCTTTCAGCATATTTATTTATCAGACACTGCTTTTTAGTACTTAAAAGTATTAATTCATTTATTAGGTAATACTGTTATTCTTAAGCATGAAAAAATTAGAGCAAATAGAAGTTCAGTAATTTGCCCAATCCACATAGTATATGGAGAGCACAGATTCAAACCAGATAGTCTGGATCCAGAACTTTTATCCTTAAGCCCTGTGTGAATAGTGCT